CTAAAGAATATTAAAAGCTTAACACAAAACATTTGGATGTTAATAAGATGGCTTTTTCTAACGGGTGCCCATTGAGCGCGCACTGGTTAAGACGCCAAAATTCTATCTGAGCTACTACATACACACACACACACACGGATAATTATTGCTTTCCCTTACGTTTATGCCTTTTCTCTAATTCTACCCGAGCTACTATGTATATACATGCACCGATAATTATTACCCTTCCTAATACTTATTACTTTTTCTAATTAATCTTATATATATATATTTTAAATCTAACCCTCAGATACTTCTGTCAGATAGACTCTCTCAGGATCACAACTATTTGAGATAGTCTTGGGACTTCCGAGGCAGTTTACCAGGATTAGTTCCAGCTGAAATAACTACTTACCTTGTTAGTCATGTTCCATCTCCTGCTAAACTCAAAAAGGCATACTTTAGAGTTTCTCATCAAGTTCAAACACGTTTAAAAATATAATACATACATGAACAACTACATATGTATATGTGTACTAAAAGGAATAAATTGTTAGGAAAAAATCTTCCCCAAGAGAGTGCCGATCTTAGGATATTTTTGCTCTATGACTTCTAAAATTTGATAGCAAGGAAGCTTCTTGTTTATGGTTTTAAATACCTCATCTTCTCCTGCAATTTGGCTGGAATGCTGTTTCGCAATGATTATTACAAAGTTAATAATCACACCAATTTGTTATATGTTTTCGAATTGTTTCCCGGTATATCTCTGGGAATTTTTTTTGTTCTCCAACATAATAAAAGGATCTTATTCCCCGGGGGAGCAAAGCACTCCATTGCTGCTGTATTGTTAGTTGCAGTACGTTTTGATACTATTATTATCGTGTTCAAGAAAACATAGAAACAATGAAAGGTTTGAGATGTTCATAGACATCAATCTTCTTTCATGGGAAGAATGGAGATTCTCATAGATAAGAAAGAAAGGTTAATATGTAACAGCTGGAATCATGTTCAACAGAGCTCTCTGGAGGCATAAATCTGTCGCATCAAAGCTGGCCGTAGAGGAATGGTCTTCGTTCCTTTTCTGTCTTTTAATCAAAATATGGAGGGGAGCTTTCAAGAAACTAGTACATTTATTTTGCCATGGTCAACAACTTTACCGAGAATCAAGAAACGATTGGTTTACTGGCAATCAGATCATGGGACGAGTGGCATATATATCTAATGAAGATGACGATGAATGGCCCTGACAATTGATCATTCTTAGAGTTTGCATCTGATGGTATCTTATTCGAGGAGAATCTAACAATTTACTACTGACTTGCATTCCGAATTTTATCATAGGGAAAAGAAATTGTACTTGACTGAAATAGAACTACCAGGAAATTCATTTTCGAAGAGCAGAAAGCTGTATCTTATTCCGGATGTTGAATATAACCGATTGGAATAGATTTTCTTGCCTTTTAGGAAGGCGTGATTTTGAAGAACTAAATGTTAATTTGCACTTACTTGCCAGCATGCATATAATTATTTCAGAATGGAATTTGTTCCAATCTGCTAACATTATGGTCTGAATGGTGAGTGGAGGCGAATTTCTGATTAATGGAAACTTTTTTCTACGCTTCTACATCTAAGTTTCAGATTAGAAAATGACATCTGTAGATAATTGGATAAATAAACAAGGAAAAATGTTCTACGTTTTGTCATTGTTAAGATTTTTGTGCTCAAATGCACATAAAAGTGATATTCACCCGTTGGTGAATGAAATGCAGGTTGGAAAATTTTCTTTTTTTTTTTTTTCAATTTCTAAATGATCATGTATCATAGAAAATGGATAACCATTTACATGTGAAGAACAAATATGCAGTATTATGTAAACCTTAGATATTTTCTTCTCCCTATACCATTAATTACTACTCTTCAAGTAAGACAATGGACGTTTTTTGCCCCCCAAAAGCCACTCAAAGTACGTGTATATATATATATATATATATATATATATATGTATATGTATATATGTATTCCACCTGCCTGTCTATGTACAGCAAATAGTGAGAAATTAGTAGTTGTCTTCTCAAATAGGCTAAAGTCTATACATGCATTCCTACTTTAGTTCTTAAACTTTTTATTTTTGAACACTTTCCCTTGTAAAGTATGAATTTAGTTCACTTTAATTATTAATATTGCAAATTTGTACATTTTATACGTACCCTAAAGTATGAATTGAAATACGTGACGAGAAATTATCAAAACAAACAAAATAGTAGGTAAATGATGCTTAAAGTTTAAGGATGAAAGTGAAATGGGCTTCAGATTTTAGGAGGTAAAATGTCCAAAGACGAAGTCTAAGGACTAAAGTGAAATTGCGTCTGGAGTTAATAATTAAGGGTCCAATGTAAAACATACCCCCATCAAATAAGGTCATTAATCTTAGAGTTTGATTGAAAAACAAAGATTATCAATTGATGAATGGTGCAAAATGATTAATTACGTTCAAGTAACTAAGTGCATGCAGCATCTTCGACCGTAACAAAATAGACAAGGAATTGCTGAAGATAAGTGACAGCAAGACGTTCTTGATTTATTCTTTTTGGTACTAACCAAACCAAAAATGTAACTTCAGCTGTGAATGGAGGATCTTCATTTACCAACCAAACCAAACCAAAAGAGAGGATCCGAGTCCTCGCAAAAGAGATTCTAGTCACTAAATTGTGCTACTTTGTGAAGATTAATGAACGGGGAGTGCAAAAACAAATTTAATAAACTTGCCAGCTTGATCGAGTTATTGAACTTGTGTCAGTTTGCTGCCTAATCTTCATCTTTTTCATGTGCAAAAATTTGGTACTCGGGCTTTCTGTTCTTACCAGTTTGGATTGATTTGTGTGATTAGACTTCATTTCTTGAATATTGATGAGAGCATCATCTACATCTAAAGGTTGTTATCCAGCATTTTTTATGTTGGTCAAGTGTACGATTTTCATTCCATTGATGATTACCTCAAAATTAACTCGATCCACTTGTATGTATGTTGATTCCATTTTCATTGTACGGATGGTCTGGCGGAATAAGCTGAAAGCAACACATATTTTCATAGAATTCAGTGATGAGAGAAATCATATATATATATATATATATATATTCAGTATATTTATAATCGGTTTGCCTAATGGGTACGCTATCGTTAAAATATATTTCATGTGTTATATTCTTGAAAATATGAGATTAATTAGGAGAAGTAGATAAATAGAAGAAAGGACAGGCAAGATTAAATAAGAAAAATATATAAATATAAGGGAGGATAATAATTGTTAGTGTGTGTGTGTGTGTGTGTGTGTATATTATATGATAGGTTAGATGAATGTTAGGTGCATTAATGAGTGCCCCAAGGGCATCTGTTAGAAAAACCCATTTATAATTGATAGAAAAGGTTTATTAATTTTTAGACTTAAAAAAAAAAAGTAAATCTTATATGCACTGATGGTGTATACACTATCACGGTTGGATATACGACACATTTGTAAAATTTGAGTTTCAAATTCAAATTCGGATTATGTGTCATGCATCTAATATTGGTGAAAGTATATATATTGTCAGTGTATAGAAATTAAATTAATCCTAAAAAAAATTCCATATATAACACATATAAATGCTGAGTATTGCTAATTGAGATTACCAATCAATTAATTGCATAGATTATAGTCAATTAAATATTACAAATCACCAGGCTGAAGATGGTCTAGAGGATCCGTGGAAACAAGAAATATCATGTGTACTCAATATATTCACAATCAATTAAATTATAAATCTCCCCAACACATTCACAAATCTTGAAGACACACAGTTGCCATGCATAGAATATCGCAATGGACAACTCTTAATTCAAATTCAAACGTGAGAGTTCCTCATGCATAACAAAAGCCTAAGTGACATAGATTCATCACTCAGCTGGACCAACAGAGAACTAATGTATGGATCACAATAACTAGCAATAATAACACAAAATCAGAAGCACCATTTGGGAAAAGTTGATGGTTTATTCCAAGGGACCTCATTCTTATTCTGCATTTTGCTGACCACAAGACCGAAAACAACTGGTGAAATAAAGCAATTTCTCGACCTTTCTTGCACTCAACCTTAACTTACATCACTTCTTCGGAATCCACAGCATAGAATCATATACACTCAACATGCAAATAATTGTTTGTATGCAAAATAAATGTCCCTTTTTGTTGATATTGTTAGGATCCAAGTGCGAAATAATCAATTATTGAAAATTTTAAGAACACGGTACTTTAATGAAACACAAGCCACAATATGAAAATAAAATTAATACACAAAATTTAATGTGTTCGACCCTATCACCAAACTAATACCAACGTCGAGAAAAAAAAAATCTCTATATAAAAATACAACATGAGCCTCAAATCCAAGTACCAGTAATGAAAGAAATAACTTATTGAATTTCCACACCTACAAAATAGAAAGTTCCTTGTTACTATACGAGATAAATGGAAATAGTGATAAACTATTTGCTTGCAGCACAAAATTAAACTGCCTAATAAGAATAAAACTCATATACAAGAGCACAACTTGAACTCCAAACCGAAATAATAAAAGGAAATAACTTACCTAACTCTCACACTCATATAATATAGGAAATTCCGTGCTCCTAGAGAGAGGACCCAGTGCGGTTGGAGTTTGATATGGTTCAATCCGGTTATTGTACTATTTTATATTATTTGGTGTATAATTACATTATATTATTGTATTCGAAATAAAAGTGGTGTCTATGAATAAAATATTTAACATATATTTAGTACTATATTGCGATGTATTAGTACACCAAAACTTTGAACACATACAATTATTGAATGAAACAAATTTCCTAACAGCCACATGCATATAAATAGCTACTATTTCTCTTGAAATGAACATGCTATACGGAACACCTCTTCAACAGTACTGTCTAGCAATTTTCTTCAAAGGCTTTTTCTTTTTTAACGTTTTGTATCCAAAACGTAAAGATGATAGGGTTGGGAGATGTCTACAAGGTGGTTGCAACCATGTTTCCACTCTATGTAGCATTGGTTTTAGGGTATGGTTCTGTGAAGTGGTGGCGATTGTTTACACCAGAACAATGTGATGCTATAAATCGGTTTGTCGCTTATTTCACCCTACCCCTTTTCATCTTTGAATTCACATCCCATGTCGATCCTTTCAAGATGAACTATCCCTTTGTTGCTGCTGATGCAATTTCAAAGGTGATCATTGTGGTGGTTCTGGCATTTTGGGCAAAGTTTAGTAGCAAGGGAAGTTATTGTTGGTCCATAACAGGCTTCTCTTTATCTACATTAACAAATTCCCTTGTTGTGGGAGTGCCTATTGCCAGAGGCATGTATGGCCAGTCTGCTGTTGATCTTGTTGTCCAAGGATCAGTCATACAGGCTATTGTATGGCTAACAATTCTGTTGCTGGTTTTAGAGATTAGACGGACTCAAACCGACTTTTATTCCAGTGATGAAACTGTGGGAGATTCAAAGGCGGCTGACAATTCTGTAAAAGATTTGGAAGCAAATTCAAGGGCTGTAGCAGAGACTAAACCATCTTTTTGGTCATTAGTGAAGAGGGTGTGGCAAAAGCTTGCCATGAATCCAAACTCTTATGCTTGTATCGTTGGCATCACTTGGGCATTAATAGCCAACAGGTATGTTTGACATGCAAGACTTTTTTCATTCAGAACATTGAGTGTTTAGTTATTTCTTTTACCCCTCATGCATCAAACTCGCGGATCAAGAATTTCAATGAATAACAAACTAACATTAATTCTACCTTGTTCGTAATTTTAGGTGGCATTTTCAAATGCCAGCTATTATGGAAGATTCCATATTGATAATGTCAAGAGCTGGAACTGGAACTGCCATGTTCAGCATGGGTAAGTGCAAGCATGCTCTTATTTTTTTTTCCCCCTTTTTGCACATTAATCACCCACTTTAACGTGCATGCATAGTTAGGATGTTACGTTAAAGTATTCTTTTTATGCACTAACAGTGTAAGAATTTCATTATACTACTGGGATTAAATATAATATATACCACATATTTTTTTCTTTAAATTTGAAATTTATTTTGTTGTGCACGTAACATGCATCTAAACCTACTAATATAAAAGAAGCTTTTAACACTGATAGCGCATAAAATGCAGAAACAATTAATGACAGCTTTCATATGTTGTAGGGTTGTTCATGGCTTTGCAAGAGAAAATAGTTGCCTGTGGTACAAGCCTGACTATTTTTGGAATGGTTTTAAGGTTCATTGCGGGACCAGCTGCAATGGCAATCGGTTCCATAGCAGTAGGGTTGCATGGAGATGTTTTGCGTGTTGCCATAATTCAGGTAACTGTACGTCCAACAATTCTTGTTACTTCTCGGCCATATTTTCTTGCTTTTTGAATCAGCTAACAATGGTTCAATCTGCAGGCCGCGGTGCCACAATCGATCACCTCCTTCATTTTTGCCAAAGAATATGGTCTTCACGCAGACGTCCTCAGCACTGCGTAAGTATAACACAACACGCAAAAAGATGAAAGAATATATGCTTTTTGCAGATTAAACGTTTTAGTATGAATTAATTTATGCCCATCCAGTAATATATATTATTGAATCTTCTCTAATTTGCAAGATTATTTTCAGGGTGATCTTTGGCATGATCGTGGCCCTCCCGGTGATGGTTGGATATTATGCCATATTGGAGTTTTTACATTGACCAACGTTGTATCTCCCTCCCTAATAATTTTACACACATAAATATTGGCCGAGACTTTAATCTAATTAATGACAACCAGAAACGGTGTTTGTTCGTACTACTTTCTAATTTGTTCTTTCTTATAATTTATGCTTCTCTCATTCACCATTCCATTTGTGTAGATTTTTGCTAATATATATTGGTTATACACAATAATATGTTTGTATTCAAAAGAAAAGAAAAGAAAAGAGAGAGATAATTGGCCTCCAATTTAAAAGAAAGTACTTGGGCGTTGGGTCGCTTAGCTTGCTAACAAAGGCAGAATCTGGATTAATCGCAAAATGAACTGACTTTGGCCAATAAAATTAATGCTCAGTGATTAAGACTTTGAAATTTTCCAAATAATTTTTTTTTAGATAATGAAACAAAGAGTTTTCATGGTATACACAAACAATAGTGGGAAGCAAAAAATATGTATATATATATATATATATATATATATATATATATATATATATATATATATATATATATATATATATATATATATATTTTAAACTAGAGTCTTGCATGGGCCTTGTTGTTGATTGCTTTGGATTTTATAAAATCTGATTATAGAAACTGATTATAGAGAATAATCAAAAGCAATAAAAGTTACTCTTTGGAAGGATGATTATAGGTTTTAAATTTTTTAGTTATTAAAAAATCTATAATTAAAATATAAAAGCAATCGAGAATATCACAAAAATTAATTATTCAAAATTAGAATTTATAATTAGTTAAAATAATCAAGGGGGAAACAAGAGAGAACAATGGGATTAATTAGAACTTCAAAATTTTGATGTTAGGGTCAACTTTAATTCCAATGATGGAGAGGCCACCTTGGGCTGTAAAATGTGCTGAGAAATAGAAGCATAGACGTGGCTTAAGAGAGCCCGTATTTCAAAAATTAAATGACAAGCCTGGATGGATTAGTTATGTTGGCATTAATGTCATATGATAATTTTAAGCCTAAGTCACCAAAAAACTACTAATTTTTTTTTAAAAAAATTTTAAGTGAGTAATTCGCATTCCCCTACTTTATCTTTTTCCCTTTTAACTTGTTGAGAAATATCAGGCCAGGCTTGAGATTTTATTTTGCATGATATGATTTTACAAAGTTTATCAAAATGCCAACACTTTAGAAGAAGAAACAATAAAGACAGTTTTAGTATTTCAATTATCAGCCAAATTAGAAGAAGAATATAATAGCTGATCCTATATCTGAGATTGAAAAGCAAAAGAAAACTAGTACTAGTTTTGACTGTGACGGTCCCACCTCCCTCTAAGGCGAATCAAAGGGTTTAGCGGACCGCCTGCCCAACTCTTGCCGGGACTCACTTACGTACTACATTTCTCAAGTAAATTACAAGGTACAACTCGAATAATACATCCAATTCTCCAAAATTACATATCATAAGCGAAGCGGAAACTAGTTCTAAGCGTAGAATGTAGGTATACATCCGATTCAATTCCAAATATTTATACAGGCCCAAAAGTACATAAACCAAAACCAAATCTAAACTATACAAGATGTACGCCATCCAGCCACATAGAGATCCAAATACAAGATCTTCCTTTACTCCGATCCCTATGGGGAGAAGTAGATAATAGGGGGTGAGCTAGAAGCTCAGAGAGTGACCAGTAAAATCAACAGCCAAGTATATTTCACAATAAAGCATTGATATGATGTCATGATGCAGTAATCAAATGTTCATTTATTGCTCACGAGAGCCAGTGAAGTTCTTGTACTTAAATATCCAATGCTCGTTTAGATCAGGTAACCGTGAAACAAAAGTAAGGAGCCATCGTGCTCCAAAGTGTTAGATTTAGTCAAATAAAATCCCATTCCATTTGGGATTCTTTGCTTTAGAATAGGTCTTACGGTTTAGGAGTTAGTTAGCAGGAGACTCCTTATTTATTGTATTTTCTGTTTGTTTTGTACGGCTATATATAGCCTAAATATTTCTCATTCAATAGACAGAGAATTCCTTCCACCTTCTTTCTTTCCTCTGCAATACCCTTTCCTGTTAACCTTACATCTGGTATCAGAGCCTCGCAAGAGGCTCGGTACGTAGAAGCAGCAGTCTTCTAAGGGAGTGTAGGCAACGAAAATGGCAACAGAGAGTGCCTTTATTCAACCAGCAGTACCGAGGTTCGATGGTCACTACGATCATTGGGCAATGCTCATGGAAAATTTTCTTCGATCAAAGGAGTACTGGAATGTGGTAGAAAATGGAGTTTTTGCAGCAGCAAAGGGTGTGACTTTAACTGAGGCACAAAAGAAAATTTGTGAAGAGCAGACGTTGAAGGATCTCAAAACTAAGAACTACCTGTTTCAGGCGTTAGATCGTTCCATTTTGGAGACTATCGTCAACAAAGATACGTCAAAGAGTATTTGGGACTCTATGAAGCAGAAATATCAAGGAACAACGCGAGTAAAGCGTGCTCATCTACAGGCATTGCGAAAGGAGTATGAAATTGCTCACATGAAGGAAGGAGAATCTGTGAATGAGTACATTGCTCGTGTTCTTGTCATCACCAACAAGATGAAAGCCAATGGTGAAGAATTGAAAGATGTTGCTGTTGTGGAAAAGATTCTGAGGTCAATGACACCTAAGTTTAATTATGTCGTCTGTTCAATTGAAGAATCTAATGATACAAGTATTTTGTCAATTGATGAGCTGCAAAGCAGTTTGCTCGTGCACGAACAACGCATGAGTAACACTATACATGAAGAACATGCACTGAAGGTGACCCATGGAAACCAATATGCAGGACAAGGAAGAGGACATGGGAGCTTTGGAGGCAGAGGCCGTGGAAGAAACAGACAAAGCTTTGACAAAGCAACTGTGGAGTGTTATGCTTGTCACAAGCTTGGTCATTTTCAGTGGGAATGCAAGAAAGGAGTGGCCAATTTTGCAGAGAGTCAAGTGGAGAGTGAAGAACACATGCTGCTGATGGCTTATGTTGAAGGAAAGAAGCAACACAAAACAGACATGTGGTTTCTTGACTCTGGATGCAGCAATCACATGAGTGGAAAAAGAGAATATTTTTCAGATTTGGATGAAAAATTCACAGATTCAGTGAAGCTGGGAAATAATTCAAGCATGGTGGTAAATGGGAAGGGCAACATCAGGTTGGAGATTGATGGAGTTGTTAGCATCATCTCAGGAGTCTTTTATGTTCCGGAATTGAAGAATAATCTGCTGAGTCTGGGACAATTGCAAGAGAAAGGGCTGAGCCTTTTATTCCAACAAGGGCAATGCAAAATATATCATCCTGACAAAGGTTTGATCATGAAAGCTAATATGTCTGCAAATCGAATGTTCATCTTGCATGCCATCTCCTTGCCTATAGCACCCACTTGTTTTAACACAGTCACAGAAGATGTAGCGCAGCTGTGGCATTGCAGGTTTGGGCATTTAAGCTTCAGAGGCTTACAAATTTTGCAGCAAAAACAAATGGTGGAAGGTCTGCCATTACTTAAGCCACCCTCGGAGCTGTGCAAAGATTGTCTTGTGGGGAAGCAACATCGAGATTCATTTCCAATGAAAAGTTCTTGGAGAGCATCTCAGATTCTGCAGCTAGTTCATGCTGACATTTGCGGACCAATTAAGCCAGCCTCGAATAGCAAGAAAAGGTACTTGATTACCTTTATTGATGATTTTAGTCGAAAAACATGGGTGTATTTTTTGACAAAAAAATCAGAAGCTTTTAACATCTTTAAGAGCTTCAAGATACATGTTGAGAAAGCAACAGATATGTCTCTAAAAATGTTGCGTACGGATCGTGGTGGAGAGTTTACATCTCGAGAATTCAACAACTTCTGCAAGGAACATGGAGTGCAAAGACAATTGACAGCTGCATATTCACCACAACAAAATGGCGTTGCAGAACGGAAGAATCGGACTATCATGAATCTGGTTCGTAGCATGCTATCTGGAAAGAAAGTGCCTAAAACTTTCTAGCCAGAAGCAGTAAATTGGGCTGTGCACATTTTAAATCGTAGTCCAACGCTGGCTGTAAAAGACAAAACACCAGAAGAAGCTTGGAGCGGAATCAAGCCGTCAGTTCAACATTTCAGAATTTTTGGTTGTGTCTCCTATGCTCACGTGCCTGACAGCTCAAGAACTAAACTGGATGAGAAAAGCTTGAAATGTGTTTTACTGGGAGTTAGCGAGGAATCAAAGGCATACAGGCTCTACGATCCTATCTCACAAAGGATTGTGGTGAGCAGAGATGTAGTTTTTGAAGAATGTGAAGAATGGGAATGGGATAAGCAACATGACTCAGCTGTTACTTGGGAGCTGGAATGGGAAGATGATGAACAGGCGGTGACTGAAGAATCTCTTGTAGAAGAAGATGTTGCTAACACACGGTCAGAAGAGTCTCTTACCACTAATCAAGAAACTCCTCCAGATCCCGTGGAAGGGAGGAGTAGGAAGCAACCAACTTGGTTGAAAGACTATGTTTCAGGTGAAGGTTTGTCTGATGAAGAGGCAGCATTTTTTGCCTCATATACAGCGGCTGCCGATCCACTTAATTATGAAGAAGCAGTGAAGAATGAAAAATGGAGAAATGCCATGGATGCCGAGATTGCAGCCATTGAGAAAAATGGCACATGGGAACTAATCGATCGACCAAAAGGAGTCAAAATAGTTGGAGTCAAGTGGGTTTACAAAACGAAACTTAATGAGAAGGGAGAAGTCGACAAGTTTAAGGCGAGACTGGTTGTAAAAGGATATGCATAGCAATATGGTATAGATTACACATAAGTGTTTGCTCCAGTGGCCCGTATGGAGACTGTTCGTTTGGTGATCGCTCTAGCAGCACAAAAAGGGTGGGCTATCCATCAATTAGATGTGAAGTCTGCCTTTTTACATGGAGAACTAGTTGAAGATGTTTTTGTTGAGCAGCCGTGTGGTTACATTCAAGAGGGAAAGGAGGAAAAGGTGTACAAGCTGAAGAAAGCTCTGTATGGGCTTAAACAGGCTCCGCGTGCTTGGTACAACC